TCCTTACTCAAAAAAACTTCAGTCATCACCAAGGCTGAAGTTTCTAATGTACAGAGATAAAGAATCCTAGACACATAAATCAATCAAATTAGGGGTGTTCTTAAATGCAAAAAGGTTTCCCACAGACATATCAGAAGTAAAGAGACTTTTTAAAATTAGACATTACCTGAATTTTAACAACTTTAAATATTACATAATACAGCATATATTCTACATGTTGTCAAGGTATGAACAGAGCATCTTGTTAAAACTAAAAAACAAATCTTTAAAAAGTGAGACTAAAAAATATATCTGAACTTTTTCAGCAATCTCAATAGCTGAAGTTTACAAAATATTTCCTAACTGGATTTTGTGAACCCTAACTAAGATTTTATCGAGCAATCACGACAAGAAAAGCAAAAAGAAACAAATGGGACTACAACAAACTAAAAAGCTTTGCACGGTGAAAGAAACCATCAACAAAAAAGAAAGGTAACCCACCAAATGGGAGAAAATATTTGCAAATGACATATGAAGGCTTAACATCCAAAAAATAGGTGTTCCCCAAAAATGTGTATACATTTCAAATAATTATTAATTTCATTATATTGCTTTTCAGATTTTTTTTTTTTTTTTTTTTTTTTTTTTTTTATATTTTATTGATTTTGTACAGAGAGGAAGGGAGAGAGATAGAAAGCTAGAAACATCGATGAGAGAGAGTCATCGATCAGCTGCCTCTTGCACACCCCCTACTGGGGATATGCCCGCAACCAAGGTACATGCCCTTGACCGGAATCGAACCCGGGACCTTTCAGTCTCCAAGCCGACGCTCTATCCATTGAGCCAAACCGGTCTCGGCTGCTTTTCAGATTTAACCCACTGAAATTAATAATTATCCAGTGTGTATACATTTTGGGGGAACACCCTATATATAGAGAACTCATACTAGTCAACATCAAAAGAAAACAAACAAAAAATACAACAGCTCTAACCAGTTTGGTTCACTGGATAGAATGCTGGCCTGCAGACCAAAGGGTCCTGGGTTCAATTCCAGTTAAGGGCACATACCCCAGTTGTAGGCTCCTCCCTGGACTAGGCCTGGTTGGGGCTCATGCAGGAAGCAACCAATTGATGTTTCTCTCACATTGATATTTCTCTTTCCCTCTCTTCCACTTTAAAAATCAACAAAAAAATATCCTCAGGTGACAATTTAAAAAAGTAATAAAATATACAACAAACAGGGATTTTAAAAATGGACAGAGTATGTGAATAGACATTTTCCAAAGAAGACATACAGATGGCCAATGAACACATAAAAAGATGCTGGACTTTGCTAATCATTAGGGAAATACAAATCAAAACCAAAATAAGGTATCACCTAATACCTGTCATATTGACTATTATCTAAAATACAACAATAAATTATGGCAAGGATGTGGAGAAAATCATGCACTGTTGGTGGGATAGCAAATTGGTACAGCCATTATGAAAAAGAGTATAGAGATTCCTCAAAAAATGAAAAATAGATCTATCATATGACTCAACAATTCCACTTCTGGGTATCTAACTAAAAATTGTAACACTAGTTCAAGAAGATATATGCACCCCTATGTTCACTGTTCACTGCTGCATTATTTGCAATAACTACGATATGGAAACAAATAATCAGAAACGAATAAATATGTGTGTGTGTGCCAGTGAACGAAATTTGTGTACAGTGGGGTGGGTGTCCCTCAGCCCAGCCTGCACCCTCTCCAATATGGGACCCCTTGAGGGATGTCCAACTGCCCATTTAGGTCCAATCCTGGTAGGATCGGGCCTAAACAGGCAGTCAGACATCCCTCTCACAATCCAGGACTGCTGGCTCCCAAATGCTTGCCTGCCTGCCTTCCTGGTTGCCCCTAACCGCTCCTGCCTGCCAGCCTGTTCACTCCCTAACCACTGCTCTGCCAGCCTGATTGATGCCTGACTGCTCCCCTGCAGGCCTGGTCACCCTAACTGCCCTTCCCTGCAGGCCTGGTCCCCCCCAACTGCTCTCCCCCTTCAGGCCTGGGTTCCCCCCCACACCCTACCCTTCTTTGCAGGTCCGGTTGCCCCCAACTTCCCTCCTCTGCCGTCTGGTCACTCGTAACTGCTCTCTCTTGCAGACCTGGCTCCTCCCAACTGCCCTCCCCTGTTGGCAATCTTGTGGTGGCCATATTGTGTCCACATGGGGTCAGTCATCTTTGACCACATGGGGCAGCCATCTTGTATTGGAATGACGGTCAATTTGCATATTATTGTATTAGGAGGATTAGATAGGATAAAGGCCTGGTGCCCAGGTGGGCGCCAGCTGGTTTGCCCTGAAGTCTCCCGGATCAGGGTGGGGGTTTCCTTGGGGCGTTGGGCAGCCTGGGCGAGGGGCCTGTGGTGGTTTGCAGGCCAGCCACCCCTCCCAGCAACCCAAGTGGAGGCCATGGGATCTGGGATTTATTTATCTTCTATAATTGAAACTTTGAAGCCTTAAGCAGAGCCCAAGGCAGGCCAGGGCTGCAAAAACTAGGCTTTCTCCATCCCCAGGGGAAACTAAAGTCTCCTGCTCTCTCCAACTCTGTGGCTGCCATTTATGTTGGGATTTATCTTATATAATTGAAACTTTGTAGCCTTAAGTGAAGGCCAAGGCAGGCTAGGGTGAGCGGAAACCTTGGCATCCTCCACTGCTAGAGAAACCCAAGCCTCCTGCTCTTTCTGTGGCTGTAGCCACACACACATTAGCATACATAGCATACACACACACACACACACACACACACTAACATACATATATACACACACAATGGAATATTAGCCATAAAAAAAAAATAATGAAATCTTGCCACTGTGACAGCATGGATGAACCAAGAGGGTATTATGCTAAAATGTCAAGACAAACTTATGGTTGCCAGAAAGTGGAAGGAAAGGCCAAAAGGGTGAAAGGGAATAAGAGGCACAAGCTTCCTGTTATAAAATAAGTCACAGGGATATAGTGTATAGCATGGAAAATACAGTCTATAAAATCATAACTTTGTACAGTGACATAATTACTAGACTTACTGAGATCACTCTGTAAGGTATATAAACGTTGAATCACTTTGTATTCCTGAATCTAATACAATACTGTATGTCATCTATACTTAAATAAAAACTTTATCTAGCACTATGTTACATTACTCTTCCATATAAAAATGTGCTAGACTATTTAATCAATTAATTTAGCAAGTAGTTTTATTTTTTTTAAAAATTGACAAAAGTTCAACTTACTGTGTGTTAAGATTTTTAAAAACTCTGAAGTAGATATGGCATTACGTGGTGGGAACACACTTCCCCGAGGCCCCTGTCCAGGAAGAACAAGGACATCAAGATGTTCTAAGCAATTTCCTGAACAGCAGGAAATGAAAGGCTGGAGATGCCGGGGTTTTGATCAGTTTACTTTTTTTTCCCCCCTGAATAGGCTTACTCATTATTAACTGATGAAAGATAACACATATGATATTAAAAACTAACATCTAATGGTTCTGTCATGATTGTCAGTTAATGCTCAAGTAGGAAAAAATTTCATTTGGTCCCTAGTTTTATGGGAGGACGGGAACCTATCTATTGGGTCATTTTAGAACTGCGTCACATTTTACATTATTAGCATTAATTGCAGAAAGCTGCTTTACTGTGTCACATAATTATATCCTCCATGGCAACAATAGGCCCAATTTCATGCTGGCAAAAACTTTTTTGTTATGAAAGAAGTCTTATTTCTTTCTCATTTTCACAACTCATTCAACTGACTGTTTCAATCACATAAAAATATAAAATTTACTGGGTCCCTCTTGGATTTTTTTTCTCCTAATGAAGAACCAGCACATTTTTCCTAGATGTGATTTAACTGAAAACACTACTTCAACTTTAAATGTATTTTAATGGTATGTACAGGTGTTAACAAATTACAATTAAAACGGAATCAGTTATGTTAATTCCACATAACTTAAAATCATGCAACACTGCATAGTAAAAACAACAGCTTTGTTCATATACAAAAGAGTACTATTTTGAGACTTGTGATAGTATACTGAAATTTTTTACATAAGCTTTTTGCAAAGAGTATTTTATAAAAATTTAAAGACCAGATTAATTAGTAGTTAATACATTATTAGGAAAGATAATAAAACATTAGGAAAGTGAGATTACAAGCAATTAATTTCAAAATTATACCAAGTATAGGATTGAATGTAGCCTCATGAAATAAATGCTTAGTTAAGAAAATAGTTTTGAAAAAGATCTCATATTGATGCTATGTATTAATTTTGTCAAATCAGATTATATAAATCAATAGTCAAGTTTATTCAGTTAAAGAAAATATGCTATTCCTTTCTTATACTCATAAATAAGTACTTATATAGTCTTTATATACAAGTGAACTAAAGTCCATTGTAAAAAATATACTGCCAATCCTCTTATGGTTGAAGTAGCTCTTTATCTACACATTAAATTGCATTGATGAAAATGTCCAATTTAAAACATATTCGATCAGCATAAATATTTAAGCTGAACATTACTGTAAACAACAGAGGAAAACAAATTTTTTTATTTTGTCACTGGACAGCAATCTACTTCTCAGCTTAGAATGCTATAGAAAGGCTCAACATTTAATTTCATAAAATCCAAAGCCATTAAATTTAGAGTAAACAAAGTGAATGGTTTCAAAGTGCATAATTTCCAACTCATCCACTTGTAGTATTTATTCGATTCCAGTTCATCCACAAGAAAATAAAATGTACTTAGCTATAAAAATACTAAGGAATGTTATTGAAAAAGAAAGGCTATTTGGTAGAAGTAACTACAAAAATAATTAGTGTAAATCTTTGTAAAGCTTTAATGCAAGAACATCAGTACACTTTCTTTCCATTAATCTTAAAGCATGATCATTACCAAGATTTAAAATTTCCACCTTTCAAAAACTTGAAAAGAAGTTGCAACTAAGTGTCTCTTCAAAAAGTAAGCAACAAGAAGGATCATGCAGGTGTTAATCTGCTAACATTTGGGGACACTGATATCTGTGTTGAGCTGTCATCGCTGGTTCCACTAGCAGCAATTACAGGCAAGGAGTTACTCTGAAACGCAGGTGTAGAACAAGCAGTCAAGTCAACATGTTCATCTTCACCAGTGTCTGAATCTGGTGTTGTGACTTCACTGTCCTGAAGCCCCAGAATCTCACAGACTGCTTGTGGCAATTCCTGAATATGAAAAACAAAACCATCATTCACCATAGAGGAAAATTAACCACAAAGCAACACTTCTAATTAAGACTACACTGATTCCAGAATCTGAACATTTGTTCTAAGAGTGTAATTGTTATGTCCACTCACAAACCTTCCTTCTTCACTCCAAAATGAAATCCTAACCACTTTTTTAATTAAGTGATTTCCTGATCTATTCTGAATTAATTGTTCTTCACCCCACCCCATCACACCACAGAGTTACTAATATTTTATCTTTATTATTGAAAGTTACTAATATTTAGCATTTGTTTCATTCTCCTTGTTTTTCTACTATCTTATTCATACTTTTTCCCTCACTATACAGAAGTTCCTTTAAAGGTAAGAAGGCACCACTGATACGTTTTGATGTTTCAATTTCTCTCTCCCTCTTCCTTCCTCTTTGAAATCAATAAAAATACATTTTTTTAAAAAATTCTACAGCCTTGCTGAAACCGGTTTGGCTCAGTGGATAGAGCGTCGGCTGGCAAACTGAAAGGTCCCAGGTTCAATTCCGGTCAAGGGCATGTACCTTGGTTGGGGGCACATCCCCAGTAGGGGGTGTGCAGGGAGGTAGCTGATCGATGATTCTCTCTCATCTATGTTTCTAGTTATCTATCCCTCTCTCTTCCTCTCTGTAAAAAATCAATAAGAAATGTATTTTTTTTTTTAATTCTACAGCCTTGATGGTTGTCACAGAAATGTTTTTATTACTTTCCCCATTTTTGCCTTATTATATAATTTCATCTAGCATGGTTAACCAGCTCTCTTCAATTACACATTGTAAATCTATAATGGTAAACAAAATGCTAGCCAATGCTTTGTGTCTGCCTTCAACTTGCTAACACTGCCATTTATTTATATTATTTCTAAGAAGAAAAATTTATTCTCGAACTCAACCCACCAAAAACAAAAACAAAAATTCTTATAATTATTTAAAATTCTGTATACTGTGAGCCCTGGCTGGATGGCTCAAATGATTGGAGCATCATCCCATACATCAAAGGTTATAAATTCAATCCCTGGTTGGTGTGTGCACTGGAGGCAACCGATCAATGTTTCTCTCTCACATCAATGTCTGTCTCTCACCCTCTCCCTCCTTCACACTCTCCCTTTCTCTCTTTCTCACCTGCCCTCTCACTAAACATATCCTTTTTTTGCCTTATTATATAATTTCATCTAGCATGGTTAGATTAATCTTGGGTGAAGATTAAAAATACGTGCGCACGCACGCGCGCACACACACACACACACTGTATACCTTGCATTTTACCATCTGTAGAGAAATTGCTTCTGCCTTGCACAGTACATCTTCTACATCAATTTTCATGGATAATTCATTAATATGCTAAAATGAATCAATAAAATAACAATAAAAATTAGAAGCACTGTATGTTCTACTATATAAATAATTACCACTTATATTTTACTACAGATAAAACCCTTAAAATAAAAATATTCACACACTACAAACAAACAGAACATGTAATACATTTTCTCTTAGATTATTTCCCATTTTAAAGCTGAAAAAATAACTAAGCTTATGGAACATTAAATCTAACAGCTGTCTCAAGTCTGCTATCTTAAAGTTATAAGCAAAATAACAATATTCTTCTAGAAAACAAAACCACAAAAAAAAAGTGTATGTTGAATTTTTTTCTCTCCTAATTACTCAGATAAAAATAACTGGCCAATATATAATTGGTAAACTGTCAGTCCCAAAGTCACTGACAGAGTTTAAATTACTCGAGGGATTCAATAAATCTCCAAGAAAATGTTTTGTGTATCAACACAGAGGAAAAAAACAAAATTAAATAACTACCTTAAGTATTTCATTAAAACCATAATGCTTTTCCATTATTTGCTGCTTTTCTGATTCCAGAATAGCACAACAGATAAGAAGATGGAAATTTTTACATGGTAGCTCAGTCCACATTACCTATAAAACAAAACAACTATTTAGTAAACTATAATAATTCTAAAACATTTTCCTCATATATACAATGTTGAACTCTAAATGCCTTCTATGCAAAGCAGAAGTTGCTAGATGAGGTAGTCCACCAGTTTTCTAGTTAGGAAATGAGGGGTAGAGAAGAAAAGTCTTATCTTTATCTACAAAGTAATTAACATCAAACTTAACATTTTGTGAACACAATGAATTCCAAATGTAGCTACTTGTAGTTACCAAATTTAGGTAACTACAATAAGCAAATCAAGTCTAACCAATATGATGAATGGTATTAATTAAGGAGCCATAGCTATGAGGTTAAGTTTAAGGTGTAGGGGTTAGAGGCATTTTCAATAATGTCCTGAACTTTCAATTACATGCTGTTTCTCACTTTTAAATCACCTTCTGTCTCTAGAAAACTAAATCCTATAAGAAAGATTCAATTACACAATGCATGGAATTAAAAACACCCACAGTCAACTCTACGCTTTAAACATCATATTGTATGTCATAAATTGTGACAAAAACTGAATCAACTACTCCAAATTTATACCCAAATGCATAAATGTTTAATCAATAGCTACACTTCTTCCTAAATATAAGTAATGCCTTTAAATTTAAGGCCTTAATTTTCCCCTAGTTAATGTACCTAATACCGTAATATCTTATCTGGAAACATAAAAAGACCCATATAACCATACTATTAAAGCATACTTAACATGTTTTCATTTCTTTTACCAGGAGTAAATCAAGTTGAATAATTTTCAGACTAATCCAATTTTTTAAAGTTTAAATGAAATTCAATTAACCTCCAAGGGTTTTCACTTAACATCCCAACATATTTGGTAAACACAGATTAGGAAGTTATTCTAGCTATGTGATAATAATATTCTCAATTCATCCTTTAAAAAAAGTTAAGATACTAATTTAACAAAATTGAAAAACTTTAAAAATATGATTTCAGGTCAAGAACACGCTAGTTTTGCCTGGCTGGTGTAACCCAGCGAGTGGTTGGGCATCAACCTATGAACCAAGAGGTCACCAGTTTGTTTCCCAGTAAGGACACATGCCCAGGTTTCGGACTCAATCCCCAGTATGGGGTATGCAGGAAGCAGCTGATCAATGTTTCTCTCTCATTGATGTTTCCATCTCTCTATCCCTCTCCCTTCCTCTCTAAAAATTCAATAAAAAGATATTTTTAAAAAAGAATGTGAGTTTTTCTTGAAACTGGTTTCCTCATCTGTTAACTACAGATAGTAGGATGTTACATTATTATTCATATTTTGCTCTAACTTAAGTGTCTTTTACAAAGCAAAATACAAGTCTGCTCCCTCGAAATATCTCAAACTATAAATACTGTACCATCTCAACTGATTCACCTGCTAAAACGTCCTTGAACTCTACAACCTATACCAGAATATGGCAGAGCCTCACACAGTCAAGTCTCCCCAGCAGAGAACACACACACATATATAGTCTAGAGAACTGGATCTGGGGGACCAACTAGCCCCAAATCTCATTAGGATTATAATTTACAGAAAAAGACTCCAAAGACCAGGTATTCAGCTCAAGATCATTCATTTTAAGAGGAGAACAAACTATCATAATTTTGAAACATACTTGCTTTAGAAATTTCAGTTAGACTGGTATAATCCATTTATATTCTATAGAATTGTTGTTTTCCATAATAAGTATCTGTATAATTTAAGAACTTACCTCCCATAATCGAAGAATATCTGAAAAACTAAATTCCCTTTTAAATCTGATTAAAAGCCATCTGAAGCAAAAATACAGGTATCCGGAGTCCTGAGATTCTATACAAAGGGGGAAAAATATATATATGGCTTACTCTCATGCTAATTAACTCAGAACAGAATGACCTATTTCAAACTCAAATTTCTCTATGCATTTTAAGTTATTGAAAGTTCTATAAATTTGTCTTCTACTAATTAAAGAAAACAATTCAAAGCTTGCAGGCTAACTTATTTAAAAGAAAACAACCAATAACAACAAATAATTCATTTTAAAATAAACTGTTTTAAGACATAAGTACACAGACCAGCCAGTGTGGCTCAGTTGGTTGAGTAGTGTTTCATGAGCCAAAATGTTGTCAGGTGAATTCCTGGTTAGGGCACATGGCCTGGGTTGTGGGTTTGATCTCCATAAGGGACGTGCAGGAGACAGCCGATCAATGTTTCTATCTCTCTCCCTCTCTTTTCCTCTCTCTGAAAACAATAAAAGCATATTAAAATATATATATTTAAAAGAACACAACTACTTTTTTTAAAAAAATTTTAAGACATAAGCACACAAAGTGTGGTCCCACACTTTTATTCCTCAGAGGAACCCTGACAATAGAGGAGCATCTATGTCTTTAAAAGAGTCATTTACATTTTTTTTCCCCTATGAATTATCCTACAATTTGCTGGGTATAGTTCTGATTCACTGCCTTACCTAAGTAACTGCAAAATCCACTGTCCAACAATCGAAGTAAGGTACTGAGTTGAATTAGCTGGGTCTTCATGCCTTGCATTTGTTCCTCAAAATTCTGGTGCTTTATAGAAAAAAATACATGTTACCATATAAATAGTATTTAGTAAATATTTTATAGTACATAATTAACTAATAATTAAACCATAAGTCTAAAAACAAATATTGGACTCATACATACTGACATTTTTTTTTAAATCACAACAAATTAAAAAGCTAGAGCAATAAGAACACATATGTAATACCTTAATCAATAAAGAAATTTTTTTTTTTTTTAAATCTAGAGCAACATTAAAAAAGAGGGAAAGATCAAGAGAAACAAAGAAACTCTTTTAAAAAATATATTTTTATTGATTTCAGAGAGGAAGGGAGAGATAGAAACATCAATGATGAGAGAGAATCATTGGTCAGCTATCTCCTGCCTGCTCCCCACTGGGGATCAAGCCTGCAACCTTGGCATTTGCCCTAACTAGGAATCCAGCCATGACCTCCTGGTTCATAGGTCAAAGCTCAACTACTGGGAACTATTCATGTTGCTGACTGTGTAACTGAGATACACTATTAAATGATATATATCAAAAAAAAAATAAATAAAAAATAAAAAAAAAAATAAATAAATAAAAAAGAGGGAAAGAGAATCCTAGGTCTCAAACTTTGGATTATTTTCCCCTCTATTTTCGGATTATTTTCCCATCTAATTTCGGGTTATTTTCCCCTTTGATTTAGATAAAAAAGAATATGGAAACAATTAACTATAGACTGAATGACATACTAATTTCTGACATGGAATAAGAGATTTGATGAGAGGAAACATTTGGAAAATAAACTTTCATCAAATCATTTCCATTTTAAAATATTTCTTCAAATTATCATATGAAAAATCTATTTTAGCTTTAACATGTGTCTCATTTTAAAGAATTAACTATTTCGTAGATTTGATGACATTAGGGAAATCTGCAATATCAAAACCATCTTCATGGCAACACTAGAAGATTAAATGCATTTTGCACTTTAAATCTCTCACAAGATAGGAGACATCTGTAATAATGTCAACAATTTTCTTAAAATCTCCCAAAGTATAAAGGTTATATAATGTGTGTTACTACAAAAGACTCAATCCAGAAGCAGGTAGGACTAAACTAGACATTAAAAAAAAATGGAAATGTACAACAATTCCTCTTCTCAGCAAATCTGTTTTTGTTTTGAAAAACTAACTTTCCATTTTAAAATGTTATACATGTTAAGGTGTAGTATGTTTACTGTTACTTTAAAATGAGTAAGTATAAATTTCTCAGTACTGGCTCTCATTCAATAAACATCAATAGATATAACCCACATAAACAAATGCTTTTGGGGTACTCAATAAGATTTAAGAATGTGAAGGGGTCCTAAGATCACAAAGTTTGAGAACTGCTATGGTTTACAAAAATCTTCAAAGTTGAGTAAATTCCCCACCAAAGGAGAATGTGAACCAAAATAAATAAAAGGCTTCTTAGATTAGTCTGATCCCTTTAAAATGTACACCAACCACTCTTTGGTGACCTACTACCCTACCCCTTGTGAAAAGCCTAAGAACATTCCCTCCCTCATACTTTTTTAGTTTTAGAGACAATAGTGATGCTGTATCAGAAGTATGTATCAGATTAGAAATCACCCATTCTTGGTAGAAAAAAAAAAATGAAAGGCTACTGATTCTCAATAAACTTTAATGAATTAAAGAACAGTTTAACAGACTAACATAAAGGTTTAAGATATGATTCTCATAGTTTTTATCTCCTTTTCTCTCTAATATATATATATATATATATATATATATATAATAATTATTATTATTATTATTATTTTTTTTAATATATAGTTTCACCCTAACTGGTTTGGCTCAGTGGATAGAGTGTTGGTCTGCAGGGTCCCGGGTTCAATCCCAGTCAAGAGCAAATGCCCTGGTTGTGGGCTCCCAGTAGGGGGTGTGCAAGAGGCAGCCTATCAGTGATTCTTTTTCATCACTGATATTTCTATCACTCTCGCCCTTCTCCCTTCCTCTCTGAAACCAATAAAGAGATATTAAATATATATGTATAGTTTCTTCATATTTACCGCCTGGACCTATAAGATCTATATGAATATACAAAGGGCTTCAACTGTATCTATAAATAAATGTGTGCACACATATGCATACATACGTTACATATATGCATATTACATATAATGTATACATGTATATACATTCTATGGGAATGGGGGATGAGAAAGGAGGGACTAAACTTTATGGCAAAATGAATGGTGGGTATAAGTAAGTTCATTAGATCATTTTCCAAGTGTTTCCATAATATTTCCATAACAGATAAAGTCTGTGCCTACACCTACATTAGATGAGAGTAAATATCAACAAAAATAAATCTATAGATATTAGGCCAGCCATTACATAAGAAATAACATGTTATATGAAATAAAGCCATAACACAAAATGAAATCTAACAACTGCAGCACTGATTTAAGGGCACCAAAACAATAACAATACAGTAAAAAATAATTGTGTAGATTTTTAAAATTGCAACATATTGCCCTTTCATTCAAATATTTTTTTTTGGGGGGGGGGAGGAATGTTAGTAGACAATATATTAAGAGATCTTTTTAGAATAAAGAATAGAAAAGTCCCCAGACTATCCTCAATGAAAATAGTTAACACAAAGAACATTTACTGTGAAAAGACAGAACTTAAACCTTCATATACAAAAAATAATAGATTATAAATGTATATTACAGGTGGTCAGAAAGTAATCTTTACATTTGAGAACTACATGCAGCACATACACGAGTGCACTTGGTATCATAAGCCATTATACTGGAACATGCCAATATTTCCTCGGTTTTATAAAAACTGTAATAATGCTGTATGCTCATGTTAATTCTTGGAGTACCCACTACTGTATAAGTTGAGGTCTAAACTAAGCACTGGGGAAATATTCATGTGTTTATTCTACAAAAATCTGTTGAACAACAATCTCATATCAGGCATTGGGAAAATTCTGGAAGCATACCAGAGAACTAAACTAGTTAAGCAAAGACATGGACCCTTTATCAAGGAAAAAACTATGTCTCTAGTGAAAAGAGGATAAACAACAGAAACATAGGAAAGGCAGACAAGAGTTTTTATACAATTAGTATCAGTTGTACAGACCTTTGTAACAAATGCCTCAGGTTTCTAGAGCACTTAGGAGTGATTGGAACTAAGAAGGCAGGTAAAATCAATAAATCAAAAAGGTAAGGAAGACAACCTATGATATTACTACATTACTGCAATTAATAATCTTTCCAAATAATTCAAAAACATTAGTGTATAGTAAAAAAAAAATTGTATATTTATCAATTTAATAGCAGAAGATATTTTAAAATCATCAAATTTCATTATGTATGTGAAATAGGAGCAGGAGAAGTGAGGATGAGTTGGATCCATGGATGAGACTTGAGTAAATAGACGAAAGTGAGAAAAAATGCAGGGGAAAGAATTGGTAAGCAACAGGGGAAGAATAGAAGTACCAGGTGTACCAGTTAATAATGGGGATTTTTAAAATCAAAGAAAACATGGTTATTTCAAGAGAAACATCAAAAGTGCTTTATTCAAAGTAATGTCCACTGCTAACTACACATTTCCCCATCTTTGAGGTAATTTGTGGATACCGTCCCAATAGAACTTTTCTTGTTTTGAGGCAAACCATTCAGAGACCCAGTTTTCCACTTCTTCGTATGTTTTGAAGTGCTGCTCAGAAAGTGTGTGTGCCATCGATTGGAACATGTGGTGATCTGAAGGAGCAAGATGTGGTGAATACAGCAGGTAGGTTAATACTTCCAGGCAAGAACTTTTAAGGTGTCTTTAACTGGTTTTGAAGTGTGTGACGGTGTGTCATCATGAAGCAAAAATACTTTGCTGTCTCTTCTGGAACATTCTAGTTGTTTCACAATCAAAGAGTGGTTCAAATTGATTATCTGTTGTCAGTGGCGATCAGTATTAACAGTTTCACCTTGTTTTAGAAGCTCATAAAACACTACATCTTCCTGAACCCAAATGCAGAGCACTGTCTTCTTTCTGAAGCGATTTGGCCTTGCAGTCGATGTTGATGGTTAACCTAGATCAACCCATGATTTTGTACATTTGGGATTCTCAAAATAAACCCACTTTTCATCATCAGTCACAATTCGATGCAAAAACTTTCTTTTGTGCCGCTGAAGCAACATTTTACTGATGACTTTTTCGTTTTCCATTTGTCTTTCGTTCAGTTGATGTGGCACCCATTTTCCTTCCTTTAAAATCTTTCCCATTGCTTCTCAATGACTGGAAATTTTTTGCTGAGCAACGTTTAATCTTTCTGCAAATTGCTTTTGAGTTTGACACACATCTTCAACCAATAATGCTTGTAATTGTTGGTCTTCAAACTTTCTCAGTTGGCCTGGATGTTCTTGTCTTTCACTATGAAATCATCACTTTTAAAGCATTTAAACCAGCATTTACAAGTGTCTTGAGATGGAGCTTCCCAAAGTATTCACCATAAGCTTCCCTAAGTATTCAGCTGCACTTTTCTTCAAAATAAAGTAATGAATTATCTTTCCCCAAATGCTCTTTTATTGGCACAAAATTCGACATTTTTAAGTGTAAAAATATCTACAATGTTATTTGTAGATATTTTTATATCTACAAATAGATATAAAACTTTCAGCAAAGTTAACACATGACACATGAAGTTTTGAAGCTTGTTGTCAATACAACAAAATAGCATATATATCAAGTCACATATACGTCAACATACATATAACTCCATCTACTGAAAAAAATCCACATTAATAAATTAACCGGCACACCTAGTAATCGAATTAGAAAGGTACTACTTCCAAATTCCACATTTGTATTTCAGAAACTCTAAGCTAAACCTTATATTGCTAGGAAACTTCATATTCAAATGACTTCATATTCAAAATCTTTATCCCACTACAAGCAAGCAATTTCAATATCCGACTTCAAGGCCCATCATGAAGTATATCAATCTTATTCTGAAATAGTAAAGTGATCTATGTATTGATCAAGTCTTTGCATTTCATATGCCTTTACCTATTCTTAGACCCTATGCTTTTTTTCTTTCTAAATGATAACTTGAGAAGAATGTTCTGTTTTATTTCCCTGTTACACTCTTTCTGTACTACTGTCCTAAAATTCCAATGCCAAGATAGAACAATGATGATAAAATATTCCTTGTAATAATAAGTATATTTAGACATAGTTCAAGTCTCATAACGACATTTCTGAGAAAAATAATAGTGAATTACTAAGAAAGTGTCAGCGTTACAAATAATTCAAATACATCTGGAGAAAAATCAGTGACAAAATCCAAATGTTCACAAAAGGTAAGGATATTACTTGGTGTGACTAAGCTTTATCTCTGAAACAGATGATATGAAAGTTCAACTACTTCACAAGAATTGCATTCATCTATTTCATCAATATTCTGTAATGACTCATGGCTCTTCTGCAGAATATAAGCATTAACTGATATTAAAACCTGATTATTCCTGTACTACAGGCACTTCCTATTTTTTGTATTAAAAACAATGTCAGCATTTCCAAGCCTCTTGAAAAGGCTATTTAAAAAACAAACAAACAATAGGAAGCAAGTTTCTAAAGTCCCATCATAACTGACTAAATATAATTCATTCTTTTATATAAGAACATTATACAACTAAAAATTCAAATTAGTTTTTAAAGGGGGAACCTCGTTCTTACCATTTGGTCCATGTAGGAGGCAAAGCACCAAAAGGCATCCACCTCATTTTCCATCACATATAAAAGAGGAGAAAGTAAGTCACTCATTCCTTGCACATATCCTAAGAGGGAAAAAAAAAAATATGTCTCTGAAAATGTAAGCTTTATGTATCCTTCTGTGCATGTTACCACCATTCACTTAAAACTTCATCTTTTCTTTGATAAATATGATGTTCACCAAGAGGGGAGGAAGAGGAGGAAGAGGAGGGGGGGAGGGGAAAGAAGTCTAGCAAGGGGGTTAAAAAGATGTATTGTTTTCAATTGAGATGTCAAGCATTTATCTATCTTCCAGTAGGTGTCTTAGTGTAGACCTCACTATCAAGAGTGGGTAATATTATTAAAGAACAGTGTGCAAGCCCTGGCCTGGTTGTTCAGTTGGTTGGACCATTGTCCAGTACACTAAAAAAGTTGCGGGTTCGATTCCCAGTTGGGATACGTACAAGAGGCTCTTTCTTTCTCTCTCTAAAAATCGATAAACATATCCTCAGGTAAGGATAAAAAATAAAAATATAAAAAATAATGTGCAGCCCTCGCCAGTTTGACTCAGTGTCTAGAGCATTGGCCTGCAAACTAAAAGGTCCCAGTCAAGGGCATGTGCCGGTTTGTGGGCTTAATTCCCAGTGGGGGACTTGCAAGTGGTTCTCTCTCATCATGGATGTTTCTGTCTCTCTCTCCCTCTTCCTTCCTCTCTGAAATCAATGAAAATATATTTTTTTAAAAACAGCACACAAATATGTTAAAAAAAATAATAATGATAATGTGCAAAAGCATTGTGAGAAAGAAGAGAAGTAAAGAGAAAACCCAGAGGAACATCAATGTAAAAGTCCATACTCAAAAGAGATTGAATAGTCAAAGGGAAAAAATATCAAGGAAGAAGATTTTTGTAAGTCAAGGTAAAGAAAGCTGCCAGGCCAGAACAGTCAACAGTACCAAGCTGCCCTGAATAAGCCAAGTAAAATACACACTAAAGAGGATCCAACTGCTTTAGCAAACAGATCGTTGGTAATCTAAATAAAAGGAGTCACAACAAAATTATCTACCTCTTTTAAATAGATAAAGCTATGTCTTCTTTTTCTTGTTAGCTATTCCCAAGTAATGCTACCGTGTTTCCCCAAAAATAAGACAACCTCCGAAAATAAGACCTAGGCATGGAAAGATAAGACATCCCCTGAAAATAAGACCTAGCGCAACTTTGGGAGAAAAAATTAATATAAGACACTGTCTTATTTTCGGGGAAACAGGGTAGCAATTGGTTTTAATCCAATGAGTATGTTGTGCCTAAAATTGCCATTTTAAATACCTTTGTCTTTATGCTGTTAAAATGTTTCAGTTATGACACTAATTACAGCCCTTGTTTAAAAGAAAAATTGCAAAGTTAAAGAATCAGGCTCTTAAAAATGAACAAAAAGTCTTAGTTCTACTTTTCATTTAAATGTCAAGCTTCTTATTTTCTAGTTCCAACTTATAATACCTTCAGTTTTCTTAAGTGTTTTACAAGTAAATTTCAGATAAGACATAAATACTTAAACCAACAAAGGGACAAGAACGCATTCTAAGCCTTTTCCCATACATATTATCATTTAACTTTGATTAAGTTCATACATTTGTAAAAGTTACAAAAAAAAATTTTCCCAATGGCAGCTTGGAAAGTCTGTGGAAACAGATGCAAAGCTTACATTTTTAACATTCATAAAAATCTACATGTACTAATAAAGCCATCTGAAGAGTATATATTTTAAAAGCGAGGAGATTATTTCTATTAGAAATGATACACAACTCTGCATCACTCTTATTTTGAAAGACAATGTTTTTTAAAATGACCCAGGAAGCATATATAAGCCAGTCTCTTAAAAAAAAACAAAAACAAAAAAAAAACACCCTCAGATTAAGTGTGTAACAGAGAGGCACTCAGGTCACTTCAGGATCTCCTTACAAATAAACACTTAGCTCCACCTGCTCGGAGCCTCTTTTCTATCATCTACTGCTGTAGCTAGTCTCTAATCAACCTACGTATACACTATGCCCTGTGGGAAAGTAAGGCTCTACTCACTTAAGCATAAAAGAACACATGGGTTCCCATGGCAGGCATCCAATGGAGTTACCAAGACATTCACAGAAGTGCCAGAAAAGACATGTGACATGATATCTAAATGTAAAGATTGTGACATACTTATTGCAAATGCTTTTTTAAAGTAACAAACACACTCGGCAATCCGGGGAGGGACTGCTGGAAGGATATGTTATCCTGGCTCCCTCCAGGTAATAGGAAATCAAACTATACAAAGCCAATCATAGTTTATGGGTGAAAATAGCTTGTGGAAATATTGCTGTGTGCTACATTTATCTAGTACTTTAAAATACTTTTTATGGAGAATCCAAGATGGCTGAACAGGTAGACACCTAGCCGCAGCCGCACACAACAATTTCAATAAGATATAACTAAAATATAAAATGGACATCACTCAGAATTACAGGAAAGTCGACTGACTGTAAATTCTACAACGAGAAGCAAGGAGACAACCAGAAGGAAGAGTGGAGAAGCTGTAAAAGCCTAAGGTACGGAGACGCGCAGCGCGCGCGGAGAGGATGGAGCCAGAGAGCAAGGGTGGGGCGGCTGAGTGCCTGGCTGGAGTTCCCTAGCGGGAAGGAGATAAAAGCTCCGACTGTGCTGGGCCCCAATTCCTACTGCTCTGAACACCAGTTCTAGGCCAGACCCCGGGGACCCAGGCTCAAACAGAGGGAGCTGGGCTGTAGGGCGGAACCCCGGGGGAGCGGTGAAAGGAAGTCCCGGAGGCGTGCACATTGCGCACAGAGAAGGGACCGTTGGCTGTGCCGCAGGATTACCCTGGCGGGAAGGAGACTAGGGCTCCGGACTGCTCTGAACGCCACCTCCAATCCCACTTCCAACTGAACTGAACCCCAATACCGGGCTCATTTGGGGAAAGCCTAGACTGTTTGGTAGCAGGCGAAAATCGAGGGCACCTTTCTCTGAGGCGCTTGCAAGGAGTACTGAAGGACCCTGAGACACAGGAGCCACATAGGGCGGGGCTGACAGAAGCCAAAGCTGTAGGTTCCACCCTGAAACCCCGCCCCCTCAGGGAAACTGTGAAAATGCCAAGGCATCGAAATAGATCACAAACAAAAGAATTGAAGGACAAAAAGCGACTGGATATAGAGTTCAAATCTACGCTTATAAGGTTTTTCAAGAATTTCCTAGAAAAGATCGATAAGACCTATGAGGATATGAAAAGGGACCAACTAGAATTAATAAGGAATCAACAAGAAATGATAAGGGATCAACAAGAAATAAAACATTCTCTGAAATAAAAAATATTATACAGAGTCCTAAAAACAGAATGGAAGATCGCAAGAATCAAGTCTAAGATTGGGAACATAAAGAGCCAGAAGACACTCTTCTGCAGAAGCTGGAAGGGAAGAGGATCCATAAAATTGAAGATAATGTAAGAAACCTCTGGGACAACTTCAAGCGAACCAACATCAGAATTATGGGGGTCCCAGAAGATGAGAGAGAGCAAGATATCGAAAACATACTGAAAGAAATAGTGACAGAAAACTTCCCCCATGTGGGCAAAGAATTAGACTTACAAGTCCAAGTAGCGCACAGAACTCCAAACAAAAGGAATCCAAAGAGGACCACACCAAGACACATCATAATTAAAATCCCAAGAGCAAAACACAAAGAGAGAATATTAAAAGCAGCAAGAGCAAAGCAAGTAGTTACCTATAAAGGAGCACCTATATGATTGTCAGCTGACTTCTCAACAGAAACCATGCAGGCCAGATGGGAATGGCAAGAAATATTTCAAGGTGATGAATAGTAAGAACCTACAGCCAAAGATAATCTATCCAGCAAAACTATCACTCAGAATCGAAGGTCAGATAAAGAGCTTCACTAATAAAAAATAGCTAAAGGAGTTCATCACCACCAAACCAGAATTATATGAATTGCTGAAGGGGGTTCTTTCAGAAGAGAAAGTAAATAAAGATAAAAATTACGAACAACAAATACGTAACTATCAACAAGTGAATCTAAAAACCAAGGAAATTTTTTTAAAAATCTGATGAACAATATTAACTGGTGAATATAATAGAATCGGAGATATGGAAGGAGAGTAAACTGGCAATTCATGGGGAAAAGGGGAGAGGGGGATGTGGAAAGAGACTGAACATAAACTGTGCACCTATGGATGAGGACAATGGGGGGTGGGGAAAGGGCAGAGGGTGGGGTGGGAACCTGGTGGAGGAGAGCAATGGGGGGGAGGAAGGAACATTTGTAATAATATGAACAATAAAAATTTATTTTAAAAAATAATAATAATAAAATAACAAACACTTGCAATGATTAATTTTATATCAACCGGAGTGGGCCACAGGATGCCCAGATATCTGGTTAAACATTATTTCTGGGAATTTCTGTAGAGATGTTTCTATAAGAGATTAGTATTTGAATTGGAGAAATGATTAAAGCAGATGGCCCTCCCCAATGTGGATGAGTGTAATCAAATCCATTGAGAGAGCCTGAATAGAATCTCTATTATAAAAAACTCTTGGTCATGATGCCATCACACTACAACAACCAAAGACCGGTCACAGTGAGGCATGCGCAGGTGAGTGGGGACTTTACTCGGGGTCCCGCAGTGTACCAGGTCTGGGTCTTGTGAGATTTCAGGCACTGGGCCCCTAGTAAAAAGGTAAAGGAAGGTTGAATTTGCTCTACGCCTGGTAGCTTGAGCTGGGACATCCAATATTATCCTGCCTTGTGTTGCTGGGTCTCATGACTTCACACATCTACACACTGCTCCACAGTTCTCAGCCCTTCAAACAATACCACCAGCTTTCCTTGGTCTCTAGCATACAGAGAGCAAGTTGTGGATTTTTTTTTTTTTTACTTTTCTGGTGTGTGTGGGGGGAGAGGGGACGGAGGGAGGAGGACAAACACATATAATCTTAATGGTTGTTTCTCTGACAAACCCTGACTAATACAACACTTTTTTAAAAAAGAAAGATTAAGTAGGTTGAAAGAAAGATTAAATTGTTATCA